ATAAAAAAAAAATCGCTTTTAAGCAATGCATAAAAATTTTTGAGGCGCGAGGCCCTTGTACCGCGGGGCCCTTGTACCGCGGGGCCGTAGGCGGTGGCCCACATCGCCCACGCCTTACGCCGCCTCTGGCTGAACCATTATTTCTTTCCTCCAGTAGCTTCTATTCAAGGCTAACGATTTCACGGCATGGAATCTTCATAGTTAAACACTAGACATACCAATTTTATGGCCGATCACAGACAAGGAACGGTACTTTAGAATCTGACATTTTTCTCGCCCTCTTGATTCCTTTCCGTCCATAGAGGTATAAGAATAGAGTAGGGGCGATATAGACTCTACTACAAGTGGAGGTGTCCCTCTAATAGAAAGAGAAAGAAGATGAGACCGCTAGCTTTCTCTTACTAATCGCGCATGCGCTTTGGCAACCATAAGCACCTTACTATTTCGATGTGATGCCATTGGATGCCATGCGAGAGAAAGAGAGAGATAGCTAGCGGTATCTCATCTTCTTTCTCTTTCTATTAGACGGACACTTTTAGAGCCGCCTTCCCCACTCTATTCCTCTATGTTTCCGTCACCCCCGTTCTCGCCGTCCGCGTCAAAGAGCACAGATTAATAAGATTACGTCTAAGGCGCTTTGCAGACGGCGGGGCGGAGCGGGCCGGTCAATTTCGCCGCGAACGATAGCACAAAGTGAATCCTATACTACAAACGCACACAGAGGGCATAAAGACCGCGCTTTGGGTGCCCGGCGGCATGCAATAGTCATGGCATGCATGGCGTGGATCATACAAACCAGTTTATATGCAGTAACGCAGACGGCGGCGCGGGGCGGCTAGCTCAGTCCGCGCCACGCGCTTTTTAGTGATAGACTATTCACTAGAACGAACGTCCTGAACTAACTGCCTCTGCCCGTCGTGTGCTTTGTGTACGCGGCGAGGGCAGCCGCAGACATCGACGGGCACACGCGGTTTTTATTGCTTCGCGGTCAAAAAGCCCGCCCCGCCCCGTCGTCTGCAAAGCGCCTAAAGATCAAGGAATTTATAAACTCCTTGGTCCGCGTCTAGTATAGAATGTTCTCTATGGTCCTCATCCGCCATCATGATGTCGTCGTCAAGGTATTTACTCCGTGCTCCGTCCTCTCATATTTTAAAACCAACCCATAATCACAAACAACAATTTTATTGGACTTTTTAAATCAAGTACAGAAATACTTACTCAGCTGTCTACAACGTAAACAAAACGCGCAATCCCAAGTGCATGGTCTACCCATTACATTAAGGGCGATTTCAATTTATGCGTTTCTTGACGGCCTGCTGCGCTGCCGAAGCGGTGCGGCAACAGTGCGGCACTGGTACCGCGAACGCTCGACAACAGGAGCTCTATTTTTGAATCACTCGTCTTGCGTCGAACGCTCGATTTCTACTAAATTTCATTCGACATAATAATTCCGTATTTTTGAATCGCTCGAGTGCAACGAATGGGTGAGACCACTCGCTGCATGGCGAATGGTGGAGGCGAATGATAGAATAATTGTATTTTTTTTGTGCTATTAGACGACAATAATCTATCACTGTCATGCTTTAAATGAAACTACAAAGAGTAGTAGTAATTACCGGTTTTTATTATTTCTGCGTGAAATGAGTAAAATTTCGTATTTCGTATCAAACAGGTAACACTGGTGACGAGTGATTCAAAAATACGGAAAATCAGTATTATGCGACTTGAAAGTCGAAGGTGACTTATGTCGCATTCGACGATACTATGTCAGACGAGTGATTCAAAAATAGAGCTCCAGGACTGTTGCCGCACCGCGCGTTTTGTATGAAAAAAAAAGATCGTCCGTACGCTGTACGACAAACGCACCGCTTCGGCACCGCAGCAGGCAGTCAAGAAACGCATAAATTGAAAGCGCCCTAATACTCTCGCTGAGACGGATGGACAGACAGTGGAGGCTTATTAGATGGTTGCATTATTATCAGCCTTCGCAACTCTACAAAGTCTCTTAATAAACATTAAGCTAATAATTGTCGGGAACCACTTTCTCCTTTCCTAAATGCCGGCAGCGTAATTATGGCGTGTCTTTCTAGTGTTGCAATTCTTTAAGAGCGACGAAGATGGCGTACCATCAGGTGCTCCGTGTCATGACATTAGAAGAGCAGTCTGCTGGCCAGCACCATCAATCTCATTAAACTATGGTATTATTGATAGGATAAGCTTCTTGTATTGATCGCTGATTGATAGGATATGGTTATTGATGCTTTTTATCACCCTTTAAAATAATACTTAGTGCTTATTGTATCCTCCTTATTAGTAAACGACGAAAAAGCTTACACTCAAATGCCATTTGTCATTCGATAAACAGAGACAAACATGGAACAACTAATCAAAGCTTAATCTTTATCTATACTAATATTATAAAGCTGCAGAGTTTGTTTGTTTGTTTGAACGCGCTAATCTCTGGAACTACTGGTCCGATTTGAATGATTCTTTCAGTGTTGGGTAGTCCATTTATCGAGGAAGGCTATAGGCTATATTTATTTATTTTCAAAATTAGGTATCCGTAATAAAATTGCTATTTTGTAACACAAGGTGTAAAATCGAAAACCTATTATTGCGTGCGCTGTAAAAACTATTGACAATAGAACAAAATGATGTACTACGGGTTTGCAGATCCCATTAAGACCTACAAAAAAGTCCGCGAGAACATATATCCAGCTATCATGGTTTAATCGCAATAACCGATTTCGTGTTCAAAATAATTATTAAATCGTCTGAAGAAAAAAAAACTACGTTAACTATGTATCGTAATATTAATCTTTATCGAAATTAAGCATTATGTTATCAAGAGTATTTATGTAGAAGTAAAATGCTTTTTGTTTCATCTCAATCGGATATTTCGTTTAAAAGTTATCTCACGTGTGTAAGATGTTAAGAGTTGGTACCTATTTATGAGTTATGGGCCATAGAGATTTTTATCAACATTAAATCCTGTAATAATCTTTTTCGAAATATATTTGTTGATGATTTTAAGTATAAGATCTTTGAAGAGTATAATAAATACATTTCTAAAATAACTCTGCTAAGGAAATCCACGCGCGCTTGATACAAGCAAGACAAGACGCTGGTAAAACTTTTAGTTGGTATGTAACACAATCACAGCTATATCAATAATCTGACTGTAAGACACAATTATCACATTATTATTATAAAGACGAAAGATTCTGAGTGTGTGTGTGTATGTTTGTTACTTATTCACGTCTAAACGGCTGGAGCGATTTTAATGAAAGGAGATTGGGGACGAACTAAAGATTTTTGTACATCAATCAAATAAGCTTAAAAATATTGCTTATATTTAATACTTTTAGGATTTTTTTACTTCTTCAAAATCCGTACTCTCTGAGCAAAGTTATTGGACTTTAAAGAAATATATCTACATAACCTCTTTTTACGATCTCCGCTACTATGCAACTACTCTAATCTTAATATTGGCGTCGATTCTCTAAACTTAAAACTAAATTTTACATCAGTCTCTCCTTTTCATTCTGTATAGAGAATGACAAGGATACACTGGTGTCGATTCTAGCATGATTCTCTAAACCTAAACTTAAATTTGACAGCAGTATATCCTTGTCATTCTCTATACAGAATGAAAAGGAGAGACTGATGTTAAATTTAGTTTTAAGTTTAGAGAATCACGTCAGAATCGACATCAATGTTGTCAAATTTAAGTTTAGATTTAGAGAATCGTGCCAGAATCGACACCATTACCTACATACATACACATAATTACGCTTATAATCCTAAAAGGGGTTGAGCAGTGGTGCAGGTAACGTTTGTTTACAAATTTTATTATTTAGCATTGTGATGCTAATAATGTGTCATTAGCATCAATTTACACTGCAATAGCAAGAAATCGACTGACTGACAGATCTGAGTTCTGACAGTGACACTGACAGACACTTCACATTGACAGAACAACGGTGATTTTTCCGAAACGTACTGCTGGAACCCCGAGTAGGTATACATTCTTTTATTTAAGGATTTTTTGTTTTAATCGTCTTTTGTAAATAAATCATAGTCACACGAATAATATGTTCTATTATTCTTTGTATATGTATTTTCGTATCTTGGACTATTTCTAATAATGTTAATAACATTATTAGGTTAACATTGGAAACCTAAGTTAACATTTCGGAACGCGGGATCCGGATATCGCTTGAGGTGGCCAGACGACCGACGTCCCGTATAGCAACCGCCCACCAAGCACCGGGCGGGCTTATAACATAGGAAATCATTCTACATTTTAAAAATATGGCATATTTTTCTAAGAGTAGGTACGAAAATTGCTGAAATTTAGTATTCAGTCATCAATAATTAGATAACGATTTCTGGCAGTATTTTCATTAGTGTACAATTGAGAGATAAAAATCCCTAAAATGCCCAATCTCCTTTGGTGTGAATTTAGCTGATACCCTGACATTAACATACAGGCTACATTTTACTGCGGGAAAATATCCCTAATAGACCGCGGGTAACACCGCGGGGCACAGCTAGTTTATTAATAATGGGTATAGGTTTAGGTAAAGAATATTCGAGAGACAGCGATAAAAAGGGTAAAACTGTACTTCCAGGGCTCAAAAGGTGATACTTGTTTTTTTTTGTAGAAAAGGTCTTTTTAACAGTTTTTTTTTCTGGCGCTTCGCCGGCCGCTGCCGCGGCACGCTCGCTTTGCTCGCTCGGCTCGCGCGTTATGGTCACAACACTAACCTAACCTAGTGTGAAGTATCACTACTTGATAAGAAAAGTAAAAATTTCAATATTTTTTTCTAAAAAACTACCAGTGCATAAGTGTGACATTTTTTTTAATAATGTGGTTAACAGAAACCTTTTTAACAACAAAAATGCGAAATTACAACCAACAAAACTGTGAAGTTTTTACTTTTGGGCCCTGGAAGTACAGTATATAGGGTCAGGAAAATGATACAAATGAAACAATATTTAAAGAACGAGAACAAATAATATAATTTATATCTGTTACATTCACATCTTCACTTACAAGTTAAAAGAAGTGGGCACGAGACGTTGCACTTTTGATCACAAAATGAAACCTTATGTTCGCGACGCATAATTCACAAATGCTTGTAACGTTGACTTAATTGACAGCGACTTTTGGTCCCTTAGTTTTAGGCGTTTTGGTGGAAGTGGCAGGCACGTAACTCTAGCGCTGAACAAAACGCGTCAGGGATAGTTGCGCATGGGTACGACTAGAGAGCCAATGTACAAGAAATCTGCAATATTTTCCCACTAGGGGCGCTTTAATCGCTTGACCCAAAACTTCTATCAAAAACATACCTATTAGCTTATATTAATTTTAAAGCTTTTTATTAATCAAATTACAAATGCCGCGTTGTGCAATTCCTGGTTGTTGTGAGAAAACTGCATGCTTCCCGACTAAAATATAATTTTATATGTTGCCTGGAGGGGGTAAAACTGAGCTGCTGTTTACACCATGGTATGTATCTGGGACAGGTAATTGCATCTGGATGTCTTCATTTTGATCAGAAAAAACTGCACCAAAATTAAAATTGCGGTCAAGTCTGTAAAAAAACCCAATGTTATACTTCCCATTTTAGCCAGAGGTAACCTAACTCTATGAGATATCTGACTGATGCAAAAATAAGATAGATTTGACTAATGAGCCCGCTAAAAGTAACTGTGATCCATGAACTATTAAAATAATCATGAAAAATGCATCTATGTACCTAGAATGAGTATTCCAGCATAATAATAGAAGTACCTTTCTACTAGATCAGCTTTTCTGCCTTGCACAGATGCTCCTCTCCTTTTCAAGTCTGTTTTCAGCTGTATTACTGACCATGTTGAATACACTTTTATCACTTATTTAATTTTTTTAACAACAAAAAAACGTTTAAAATTTGACAGCTGCAATATTCGACTGTGGTTTGGGTCAAGCGTTTGCAGCGCCATCTATGTCGAGCTTTGCGTATACTTCTCCATCGGCGCAACGCACGCCCACCCGCGCACTTCGTTTCCCCCCAACACATCTTAATTTTTAATTCTGCGCAATTACTATCAGCGCTGGAGTTTCGTGCCGCGTATTATAGGAGTGATAGGGCTAAGGGAACTCGGGAGAACACTTTATTCACTCTCGACGAGTCGTGTCAAAATTATATTTTTTAAAGAACCACAAACTTATAGTAGGGGAGCCCAAGCGGAGATTTTTGGATTTAGTCGAGCGCGGCAGAATAACATATGGGGAGCAACCTTGCACCTAGTTTGCCTTTGCATGATATGGGGTGGCCGTACGAAGAGGTAGAATATAGGAAAAAATAACCGAGCGCGTCAGACATTGAGAAGGGATGTTACGTGAACCCTCCAGTAGCTCCTATTAAAAAAACTGACGATTTGGACCCGACCAAAGGTCATGGCCGTTTGTTGAAATTTTGTTATGCTGCCCTAGACGTTCGGCTCTACATACAAGGGCGGATCCAGCTTAGGCGCCAGGGGGGGGTCATATAGCCAGCTTTGGCGCCAGGGGGGGGGACGTATAGCCAGCTTTGGCGCCAGGGGGGGTCATATAGCCAGCTTTGGCGCCAGGGGGGGGACGTATAGCCAGCTTTGGCGCCAGGGGGGGGGGGTCATATAGCCAGCTTTGGCGCCAGGGGGGGTCATATAGTCAGGTATAGTGGGAGTACTTAATTAGGTGCAAGGTTGCTCCCCATATGTTATTCTGCCGCGCTCGAGTAAATCCAAAAATCCCCGTTTTGGCTCCCTTACTATTTATTATATTTGTTCGTATAATTCAAAACTAGATATAAATTGTATTAATGAATTATGTTGCTATAAAAGACATTCAAATTGTACATCATCTTACATAAACAAAGTTTGTTTTATACAATATAAGAAAGATAGACGCGAGTATATTATTACATAATGCTCATTAAAATTTACAATCATTTATTTATTATGCAGCATCAGAATGATAACAAAAATAGATAAAAATATTAATGTAACTTTCAAAACTATGTACTTACAAACAATATTATTATGTATAAGTAATAATTAAACAATTCTTTACAAAACACTGTGTTCTTAAAATAATATAACGTATCTAGGACAACTTATTATATTACCATACTTAATTAAAAAGTGTTAAAACATTAACTGTGTACCTGCCGAATATCAGAAATATGCTGGGTACATTTTGGGGATAAGTTGATAATAATTGATATCTGGCAGTGTCTTCTCGACCTAGGGGCTCATCTGTGTTCCATTCCACACTATTATCTAATTTGTACTGGTAACCATAAATTTTAAATGCTTATTATTGTAGATCTAGATAGAACTCGTATTTGTAGGCGACGAAATGTCGAATAATAAAATTTTAAATTAAGCAAGTAATGAATTACAGTATAACTTTGAATAAAATTATTTAACAAGTTGCAGATACACAGTGTTGCGTCAAGTGTTTTAACCAGCGCCATCTCTCGTGCCCAACCAAAAATAATCTTAGTCGATGTTAACAGTTAACAATAATAAACTGTCACGAGGTATAATGTGATAAATATAAGGTTACAAGTCCCTCAAAAAACCACTAGCAGTCGACTTTGTAAAGACTCTGAAAATGTTTGCTTCACCAAGTTATATATCACAATAATTTAGTAAATATATTTTTTTAAACTCTTTTTACAATTATTTGTTTATTCTCTTTCGGGTGATAATATCTAGATTACATAGAGAGTTAAAGGCATACACAATATGATTTAGTATTCGAGTAGAAAGGCATATATTTTTCGTTCTAATATTAACAAAATGTGACAATTTGTTACGCCAATATTTTGGGGTGAATAAATAAATTATATGTGCTAAGAATCCAAAGGACATCTAAAGTGCTCTTATAAAACTGTGCCTGTCAGCATATTTACTCTACTAATGATTACTCCAAGTCCACACTAGGTGTACATATGCCACAATAATAGTTATGGACGTAGCGATAACTTATAAAATACGTAATATTAATAAATTCAACCAAAAATATAGTTTCATACTGGTGCCAATTCTGACGTGATTCTCTAACCTTAAAACTAAATTTAACATCAGTCTGTCCTTTTCATTCTGTACAGAGAATGACAAGGATATACTGTTGTCAAATTCAAGATTAAGTTTAGAGAATCACGCCAGAATAACAACATACATCTTCAATTAAAGCATTCAAAAGCGCTCAATATGTAGTATCAATAAAAAAAAATTTCTCGTAATCTCACTTACAAATAAATACAGATGAAAAAAGTAAAAATATGTACATAGCTCTATCTACATGTTAAACATTTGAACGTCGTACCACAAAGTTTGGATGCAATGGATACTTTGAAATATCGCTCGCTAGCACAAAACAATATAATCTACTATATAAAAATAAGTCGGGTTTTCCTTCCTGACGCTATAACTCCAGAACGCACGAACCGATTTCCACGGTTTTGCATTCGTTGGAAAGGTCTCGGGCTCCGTGAGGTTTATAGCAAAGAAAATTCAGGAAAAATTAAAAAAAAAATCGTTTTCTTTTAATCACAAAACGAAATGTTACATAAAACGAAGCTATCTGGTGGCGAAACGGAGTTCGCTGGGTTTGCTAGTCTACTATATAAAAATAAGTCGGGTTTTCCTTCCTGACGCTATAACTCCAGAACGCACGAATCGATTTCCACGGTTTTGCTTTCGTTGGAAAGGTCTCGGGCTCCGTGAGGTTTATAGCAAAGAAAGTTCAGGAAAAATTAAAAAAAAAACTTCTTTTAATCACCAAACGCAATGTTACATAAAACGAAGCCATCTGGTGGCGAAACGGAGTTCGCCGGGTTTGCTAGTCGATTTATAAAAATATTGCCTTTATTTAAAATTGAATAATCACTAAGAAAAACACATTAAATTAGTAAGATATAATTGTAATTACCTCGTTATAGCGCTTAAAAAGTTGCATTAAATTTTGAGAAATTATTTAAAAAATTGTTGACACCCATCCAGGCTTATGTAATTTTTTCATACACATAAGTAGTTGTAAATAAAAAAATATGCTTTATTTATATGGTACTCATAATCTTAAGTAGATTTTTAAAACTTTACTTAAATTGTACTTGCAAATATATGAAGTGTCTAACAAAGAAGAAATAAACTAAATTTTGTTTTCGTTAAAATCGACGGAGCAGCAGTTGTTCCTGTGTTGTGTAACCGCCTTCACTTCAGTCTTTGCTTGCGTTATAAATTCTACATATTTCCAAACACATCATTCTACCTTGTAAGTGCCTAGGTAGTTATGTATAAATAATTTAAGTATTAAATAACTAAAAGTATTACATAAACTTAGGCCCAAGTTCCTCCAGGCCCAAGTTCCTCCAAATAACACATTCAACACTTAATAATTAAAATATTTTTATGTAGATACATTACTCTTCAGATACATTGAAGTGATGTCACGATGTCACTAAGTACCTACGTCGTTAATTTGCCTTCAGCAAGTGAAATTATAGTGGAAAAGAGAATAAGTCACTAATTTTATTAGCAGGTTGCTAGAGCAAAAAATATTACCTATCATAATTATGATAATTTATGTTATTTACATGATTGTTAGCATGTGTACCTTGTTTTTAGACTTTCCGAAATGGCAACAGTACCGAAATATCAGATACTCGCTAAAAACAAGGTACATGCTAACAATCCCGTAAATAACATACATTACGATAATGTCAGTGTCCGTGAAAGATTAAAACAATATAAAAAATATATTGTATGGTGGTAGTGGGACTATATGAAATTGAGATTACAATTACCACATTTTAATGTCTGAAGAATTTATTATACAATTTAATTAAAGATAAGTAGGTAGAATCTGTCAGTGAATAAAGTATCTACATTAAATATATGTGTTTATAAATTATGTTATCTACTTTGCAGATTCGTGGCCCTCTTGTTAACAAGTGTGGGGACTACAAAATTATAAAGTGCCGTTTATCGCGTTAAGTGGTTATTTTAAAAAGCGTTAACAACGTTTAATAACAAACTATTTGCAACAGTAAAATATTTCATAAAACAGTTCCGAGAAATTTTCTATCTATAATTACCGGTTAAAAGTATGTAGGGACACTACATTACATGCTATCCCAAAATATTAATGCCATTGTGAATAAGTCACAGTTTTTCTTTCTTTGCTAGCCTTGAAATTAATTAAGTCTATTGGATTTTGAGAATTGTAGTCATAAATAGGAGAGTTAGATTACCCAACCCAAGGCCGTAGCCAGAGTTGTATTTAAGATAGGGCAGCGGTAATTTAAGATAGGGCAGCGGTAATTTAAGCTAGGGCAATGGTAATTTAGATAGGGCAACGGTATTTTAAGGTAGCGCATTGCCCTATAATGCCAGCCTCTAGCAATTGCCCTGACGCAACCCCAAATAAAAATTTAGACTCAACTGATCCTAATGGTAGAATTTTGATCTTACTACGAAAGCGATTTGTAGCGTAAAGTAATTTGATAAAATATATTTAAGAGATTGTCTTATAAGTGAATAATATGCTATGCAATGAAGCTTTATCTGGCACAATATTTTGGAGTAGCCAATATAATTATGTCCCATGAAAACGTTTTTAACAGACCATAAATCCGGTCATATAAGCCGGCTTGTCACGGTCCCCGATGTTGTAAACGGACGCGTCTTCCCACAGCGACACGTTTGCAATATCTCAGACTGGGGCACAAGCCGTATGGCAGACACAGACTGTTGTGTCGTGTTGTGTTGAGACGGGTCAGAAGCTTATCGATTAAATCAGAGAGCTGCTCTTCTAAAGACCGCTCATAAGGGGCACCCGCTTGTGCCACGTTTATGCAGCAATACTACGGGTGTATTCCGAAATGTACATCAGTATACTGGCCAGTGGTAATGACGTCACGAATCCGACGCCATATTGTTTTGGTATGCTACCATATAAATTATTGTTAAGAGGGCGAATTGTCTTTACTATGTCAAAACCAATCCTATTTTTTCCACGCGTTTTTAATTTTAATTATTTTTATATGTTAAAGTATAAGGATTTCTGTTTTTTAAACGTGGAGACCTGTAATTGGCCTTCTGTAACTAATTTTATTTCTTCAACTACCTATGTCTGTTTTTAAGAGCTGTTGGTCTCCCAAAAATTAAATAAATAAATATTTTTACCGGGAAAACGAATATGACGTATGACCGAGCGTGCGTGAGATGCATTCGAATTTTATTTCTTTTTTAATTAAAGAACAATAATGGCATCCGAACAAAAAGAATTCCTTTTAATTGGTGAGGTGAATAAAAAATCTTCTTTATTCGCACTATTTTTAATATTTCGTCGATTTGTGACGTCAGTGCACTGGCCAATATATTTCGGAACAATTCACCAGTATAGCGTCGATCCATGACGTCATTAGCACTGGCCAGTATACTGGTATGTATAACGGAATACACACTACATAAGCGTGTGACACGACTTTTGGGACGTCAACACATCGTTTCACCAATTACAGTGACCGCAAGTTTTTGAAACACTCAGCACATAGTTTGAAACCGACACGATTCGGACACATCACAACACAACACGACTTGTTCCTACCTAAAGTAAGGTGGTCGACGTCCCTGTGTGACCGAGATTACTACCATACTGTATACACTCCTACCGTAGTATAACTTACATAGACATCCATTAAGTACATTAGACACAAACTTACTGGACCTTGAATACGTGTGGGTGCGGAGTCTTAGATTAAAATAAAATGGGTAGATACGGTACGCTCATACTTGCATCAAACAAAAACTGATCCCACGGCAGCGCGAACGGGACGGCGAGATCCGCGTCACTGCATTACCGACCCGAACGAAACAGCACGTTAAGTTTCAACGGCAGCGCGAATGAGACGGCGAGATCCGCGTCACTGCATTACCGACCAATCAGGCGACCAGTACTCGACGTCACTACCGAATAAGATTCAAAACAAATAGCAATTTTTATGAAAAAATATATTTTATAGTACTTACGAAGGAAAAGTGATGCCGTGGGTTTTATTTTTAGTTCTTGAGCAATTTCAGCACTTTTTAAAAACACACTTAGGGATTGTTTTACCATATAAACACAAAATATTAGCAATATTTCTTTTTGGCGTTCACGTGTACGTCGTTTGCATGTCAAGTTGTGACTAAAGCGATTAGGGTCGTGGACCACAATTGGTGCGGATCACTTTTGTGAGGCTAGTGCCGTATCTACCCTTTTTGTTTTAATCTAAGTGCGGAGTAGGTACGGAGGAGTCGTTCACTGTGGCTCCTCAGGGGTAGCTATCAGCTGGAGTTCAATAGTTTCAGGAGCGCACTGGCCTCGGCTGGCTGGTGTCGTAGGCGCGAATCACGTCTGCTTGCGACACGCTGCCTCCTTCCTCTTGTGAGAACGCGAACCCATCTAAGCGGAAACCAACTCTCAGTGCACGCAATAAAGTTCAAAACAAACGTGTGTAAGATTCGGGGTAAAATTGTGAATGTATAGCGTGTTTTTGTAGGCTCTCTATGTGCCAAGTGTCATTGTTAAAAACTATTGGAAACACGTGTGAGGGTGGAAATTGGTAAATATAAAATACAGTGTTGGTTAAAGCAACAATAAAGATGAAACTTTGTGATAGAATCTTGAAAAAATTCTTAGATATTTTATATCATGGATGATAAAAATTTGCCTACATGCAGGGCCGGATTTAGAGGTCCAGAGGCCTCGGGGCAACAGAGGAGCGGAGGCCCCCTCACCCCAAATTATTTTCCAAATAAACTAAACAATTTTTTTTCAGTCGAGATTTTCAATATATTATTAAGATCAATGATTTCTGATATTTAAGATTAATATAATCAAATAATCATGTATGTTAGATGTACAAAGTACTGTAGGCTGTAGATAAAGGTAAAAGAGCAAAATAGCAAAGGAAAAGATGTTTACTAGTTGGAATTTGAAAGATTTTTTCCGAAGTCTCTATTGTGGGGGCCCCCCGTTTGTGGAGGCCCCGGGGCTTTCGCCCCGGTTGCCCTCCCCTAAATCCGGCAGTGCCTCATGATATGCCAGCACTTCACTTGGCTATTCGTGTTTGCTATATGTAAATTTGACAACTATCTGTCCTTATCGTGATTTTTATGAAATGAAAAGGACAGACTGATGTCAAATTTAAAAATAGCAAAAAACAATTATGAAATTACTGGCAATAAAAGTATATTTTTGCACAATTAATAAGTAGATATGCATTATATATGTCACCCTCGCACGCGGTGTGCAAAATGATTTCTGTTCCTTAAGTGGTACCTGCATCACAATCCTGTGTCATAGGGGTACGCTCGACAAAACAAAGTGTGTGCAATTTGTTAAAGGGTTGCCAACTTTAAAAAAATAATTAACAGCTAGTGTCAGTGTTGCTACTTGTAAAAACAACTTTAAGTGACTGGTGTATTAATTGTGTGCGAGCTGGGTTTTATTTAACATGTTTGACACAGGTATATACAGGGTGTTACAAAAATACAAATAAAGCTTGAAGGGTGTTGAAGTACAACAAATAAGGAGACTTCTCTAATTTTTTTAAAATATTTGCATGAAGTATTAACTTTTTATAAAAAACAGTTATTTTTAATGATCCTCGAACTAGTGACGTGTCTTAAAATGATCGATAATTTTATTAATCATTAAAAATAACTGTTTTTATAAAAAGTTAAAACTTCATGCGAATATTTTAAGGAAACTAGAGATAACTCCTTAAGTGATGTCCTTTAACGCCCTTTCAAGCTTTATTTGTATTTTTGTAACACCCTGTATATATACGGCGTTTTATTGACAATTTCAACATAAAAGTATCTATCTCCCAGTACTTAGACCGTGAGCTATCTTTTGACACGTGAAACAAACTTTGTAATAAAAAAACTCAAATGACATCAGTCCCCCTAAAAAAAAACTAAGAGAAATCCAATGAACAGTCATCGATCTTAAAGAATATATTAACATTATTAATAGTACAAGGGATACTGAATTCTTGTCTTTCAAGTTCTTTACATATAAATAGTTTCATCATGCGCCCGATCTGGGCATCAATTTATTTATTTATAGGGCCGTACTCACAAACGTCAAAAAAATTTAATGTTATTTAAAATATCATGTTGTCTTTATTTTATTTTTATTGCAAGAAAAAGTAACAGCATAAACTTAGTGAAATTTAAAAGCTACCTAACGTCTCTGAGTACGGGTTTCATCATCATCATTCTAAGATGATGAAGGAATCTAAGCAACACAAACTTTTTTTAACTTTTGACCGATTTTTAAAGGTTTATTTAGTTAATAATAACCAATTGATTTATTAGTGACTACAGCAAGAAAAAACCTTTGAAAAATTGTTATGTATTGATTACCTAACGATAACAACGATATTGAATATCCTAGATACACCACGTCCGCTCAAAATGTGTCCTAATCAAGAAGTGCTTGAACTCGACTCAAGCACTTCATCGTTCGCAGTAACGCGCAAACCGTTGAAAAGTCAACATGCCGCAGAGCTCTGTGAAATAATGCGAAAAAAAAGTACGTAGTAAAGTACGTAAAGTGTCGTTTTTTCGACAGGTATCTAATCAATGTTTGTTAATTTAACGCATTTAAAGCAAATTTTGTTCTAATACTTACTAGAAACTTATTTAATAGAAAATATTTTGTAATATTCAAATGCATGGTCGGTTATATAGCCGTCTTGCGTATTCAGAATTGCATGTACAGTGAAAGAAATTAGGTTTATATTCTTCCGCATATAGCAATAAGTCGTAAAATTTAACGAGCCTGCATTTCGAACTGTCATAACTCTTTGACGCATGCGTTTTAATTAAGACCTCATACAGTATGCATTAAAGGTGAATTTCAATGTTTAAATAATTCCTTATATTGTTTCTGACAACGCGATCATCTTCAGGAGCTCCGTAGATCGTCCAATGTACTTTTAAGACAGGTTTCGGGCACGATTTTGTTCATGTTGGTGTATCTAGGGTATTTATTAATCGTTGAACGATAATATAAAAACATATCAACTGATATATTGTTTTAAACTTTCATGGTCACTAACATTATAGTAATATAAGTTATTTACGGGATTGTTACCATGTACCTTGTTTTTAGCGAGTTTCCGATATTTCGGCACTGTTGCAAGCGCCATGATCACGGAGTAACTGAAGTAATTGCGGGTAGGCTGTTATTGGCAGACATACCTATCGGTCTACCCTCCGACGAAGTCTTTTATTGCGTTCGATACCGTGTTGCGTTGCGTTCGATCATGGCGCTTGCAACAGTGCCGAAATATCGGAAACTCGCTAAAAACAAGGTACATGGTAACAATCCCGTAAATAACTTATATTACTATAATATCAACTGATATGCATTTCGTTCAAAATTATGCATATTGCTTACATTCTTTTGATGAGAAGTGATAAAATATGTGTGTGGGTGTGTCGGTGTTGGTTGGCAACCATAGTGCGGTACTCACGCGACAGCTCTATGTCGAGTTGCGCACGCGCCGCTCCCCGTCGACTGAACACGCTGCGCACGTTGTGCAGCAGCCGCGCCGTCTCGGTCAGGCTGCCACACACCAAGCTCACTACTACTGGCCGACTGGTCTCTACCATGGCCGCTCGCGGAGTGACAGCCAATAGGCATCGGATACGGGTCAGGACAAGCCGAACAAACGCGCGAGTCAACGAAGATCGCGTTTGTAATGTTTGTAAATAAACCAGCTATTATACTAAAGAAAAGTTTACTAGAAAAAAAAATCCACGCCGAGCAGGAAGCGGACGGGACTCGAACCCGCATCCTTCGCTATCCGGGCGAATGCACTGACCATTATGCTACCACGGCCCTATAATGGTCAGTGCATTCGCCCGGATAGCGAAGGATGCGGGTTCGAGTCCCGTCCGCTTCCTGGTCGGCGTGGATTTTTTTTCTAGTAAACTTTTCTTTAGATTTAAAACATCTAGCAGTTAAACGCTTAAAAAAATAAATAAAATCACAGCTATTATACTTCTTTGGCAGAGTAGGGTATTGACAGTATAGAGCCCACTTACACCAACAATTTTTAATCAAATTAAAAAACCTCAACCTCAGCCTCATTCTACCTCTACTTGACTTTAATCAATAGGGATGATGACTAATTTTTTTTTCTTCGTTTATCAGGCAGATTATCAAAAAGTATTGGACGCGTATTTTTTCTTTTTTCACATAATATAAACATTGCAGAGATATATTGATTTGAAAAGTCGCATGACGTCGCTTTTGAATACACTTATAAATGAAAATTCACTCAAAAGTGACGTCACGAGCCCCTACTCCCAAACTTTGACGCGCTATAACTTTGTCATTTTTTGGTTGATTGCCCAAAGAAAAAATGCGTGTCCATTATTTTTTGATCATCTAACTGACGGACTAAATAGAATTTCGTTTACTGTACCCCATCATCACCCCTATTGACAAGGATAGAATGATGTGTGTTAAACAAGATAAAGTCTTAATTTGAATAAAGGATTTCGGTGCAAGTGGTCCTTAGATTGTTAGAAAATTAAAATTGAGTATAAAGATATAATTATAGTTCACAAACATTCTCTTCGTAATTGTAACTCGAATACTATTGAAATATTGTAAGCCATCTTTTAGACCTCATAGAGTCAATTCAGATACTCATCCTACCCGTATCCGTTCCCAGCCACTGCCCTTGCGGTAGGATCGCGTCGTCTCGTAGACCGCTCGGTTATCAAGCGTGCATGCGTCGTGCAACGTGCACCGTGCAGAAAAGACTACGATTCTAACTCAATGCTCGTCGTGAAGTTAGTTCAACTCGCTGCGCAGTAAAATGTAGATTGTACGTGGCTAACTTCACGACAACCATAGAGTTTGGATCGCACCAAGTATATCGAGTAACGTGCATCGTGTGTCGCGCATGCCGTACTTACACTGGGCCAGGCGCAGCAATGCGTGCCGCGTGTCCGCCGCGCTGCGCAACAACCAACGTTAATATATCGCCACCACCTCCCCCCCGTGTCATAATATGTGCTATCGTCGCCACCATCCAATCCTCTCACCGTGCGATACTCCAATCAAATTCGAATTACGTCGAATAACCATTGCCGATTGTACGGAGCACCACCATTAGAGATCGCATACAATGCCACGAGCTTTTGCGAAAGAATGTGACACGCTCCCGACGACGATACATCGTTTCAACAAAATGTAGGACCGTTAGGGATGTAACGATACGAGTAAATACAAGTAACTACTCGATACTTTTCTTTCGATACCAAGAACTTTTGGCATCGATACTTTAGAACTGAGTAACAAGTAGTATCGTGAAGTAAGTACTTGTATCGGTACTCGGTCGCTCACTTACTGAGAAGTATCAAAAAACTTATAGGTAGGCAGATTAATAACTCTTTGGTAAGGTGTCTATTTAGAATTTTTGTTTCGCGAACGCATCTTTTCTTCTCAGTTGGGGGCCTTGTGTATGATTTATATTTATTCTAATTTTTCAGACAGTCATACGTTCATCCCGTAGCGTTAGCCGTTATTTTGTTTTCGTTAAATTAAAACTGACTGAATTTGTAATTGTAATATAGATCCTCAAAATTTATCGATACAAGTAAGTATCGATACTTTATGATCGATACAGTATCGAATAAAAGTATCGATACCTAGATGGTATCGTTTCATCCCTAAGGACCGTGACGAAATATTGATACGTCCAATCAAAACGCGGCTTACCCTCACCGCAGGCTACCAACTTAGGTGATTTGGATTTCAAACTAAAATTGAGTAATGCAGATTCTAGTGGGAGTGCTCAGTGGCGGATTGCCATCTTTGATTTACCATAGAGCTTTTAGAGAGCGGAGCTTTACTCGAACAAAAGCGCTTTAAAGTTCAATATTTCGCAAACGGATCCCTAAATCGAAAAATAGTCCTAGAAACCCCGAAATAATTTTAAAGAACCTATTCAACGATATCCCACACGATGGAGTAAATGATGAAAAAAAATCATCCCCAGGTTACAGGGGAGCTACCCTAAAAAAAAAAAATTTTCGACATTTTATTCTACCATTTTGTCGGCGTAATCGATATACATACAGTAGCTAATAGTATATAGTATAGCTAGTAGTGCTAATGCACTGGAAAGCTGTAATTTTGTGGAGTCCCTATTTGGGGCGGACAGACGGACATGAAACTATAAGGGTTCCTTGTCAGGACTGACGGAACTACGGAACCCTAAAAGACAGCTCTGCGATAGACATTTACAAGTGAATGAGAGGTGCGATTAGAAAGAAGTAAGACAACATAATAGGACAATAAAAACATACTCATATCCGGTACAGGGTAACTGACTTTTGGCCAAAGTACTTGCCGGCAGAATAGGGATGATGACTAATTTTTTTTCGTCGTTTATCAGGTAGATTATTAAAAAGTGTTGGACACGTATTTTTTCTTTTTTCACATAATATAAACATTGCAGAGATATATTAATTTGAAAAGTCGCATGACGTCACGTTTGAGTACACTTATAAGTGAAAATTCACTAAAAAGTGACGTCACGAGCCCCTACTCCCAAACTCTGACGCGCTATAACTTTGTCATTTTTTGGTTGATTGCCCAAAGAAAAAATACGTGTCCATTATTTTTTGTTCACCTAACTGACGGACCAAATAGAATTTCGTTTACTGTACCCCGTCATCACCCCTATTCTTACTAAACTACGTTTGAATTTTTATTGTCTTTGGATATACATATGATAAAATGACTCGTTATGAAAAGAATAGGTACATTTATGAGACTTGAGTAATTTTCGAAATTAATTGACTAGATAAAAGTTTTTTTTACTCTGCTATTCTCGTTATCAGTAAGATAATAAAAAGAGAAATAATGCAGCAGTAGATAAGTAAGCTCTAAGAAATATATACAAGATTAATGCCTTAGAAAAAATTTATGGAGTAAAAAGACTTACAAGAAGAGCAATCATTTCATAACTCGTGAATACACACGTATTTTTTCTTTGGGCAATCAACCAAAAAATGACAAAGTTATAGCGCGTCAAAATTTGGGAGTAGGGGCTCGTGACGTCACTTTTGAGTGAATTTTCACTGATATGTGTACTCAAACGTGACGTCATGCAACTTTTCAAATCAATATATTTCTGCAATGTTTATATTATGTGAAAAAAGAAAAAATATGTGTCCAATACTTTTTGATAATCTACCTGATAAACGCAGAAAAAAAAATTAGTCATCATCCCTATTACGAATGCTCCAATATTAGGATATTTTAGATATTTTTTTAAATAATCTCTCTAAACGTGTGACAAATGTACTACCTGGCAAGGGTCACTACAAGGTTAATTGAATGTCGAGGACATTGAACCGAAGTATGATTACAATAGAACTTCACGTACAGGTAAATTCGTTTTATTGTGAATAATGCTTCGCTGCTCAATAGGGGTGATGACAGTAAACGAAATTCTATTTAGTCCGTCAGTTAGATGATCAAAAAATAATGGACACGTATTTTTTCTTTGGGCAATCAACCAAAAAATGACAAAGTTATAGCGCGTCAAAGTTTGGGAGTAGGGGCTCGTGACGTCACGTTTGAGTACACTTATATGTGAAAATTCACTCACTCATAAGTCATTTAACTTATAAGTGTACTCAAACGTGACGTCACGAGCCCCTACTCCCAAACTTTGACGCGCTATAACTTTGTCATTTTTTGGTTGATTGCCCAAAGAAAAAATACGTGTCCATTATTTTTTGATAATCTACCTGATAAACGAAGAAAAAAAAATTAGTCATCATCCCTATTCTCGCGATTAATCAAGGGCGGATCCAGCTTTGGCGCCAGGAGGGGGTCATATAGCCAGCTTTGGCGCCAGGGGGGGGGGGGGGTCATATAGTCGTGGTATATTCAATATTGAAAGCACTTAAATAAAATCCCCCTGGGTTTGGTCCATCTGTACCCAGCCCAGGGGGGGGGGAGTCATGACCCCCATGACCACCCCCCCTGGATCCGCCCTTGCGATTAATTAACCTGTAGATGTTTAGAAAACTGAAATCAGAATTGGTGAAATTAAATATAATGTTGATGAAAACAGCAGGACATGGCTATTCTGTACAATAAAATCTCAAATTCCAATTATGACAGCTCCAATTTAAGGCATTGAATAACCAGTACGTCATTTCACGGCAACGTCAAAACGAAAATTGACGGCCCCAGTAATATATGTACGATAAATTGAATTAATGTACGATCGAACCAACTGATTGCTAACCCACTTGCCGATAATTCGCTTGTCAAAACAGACAAGTTTAAATCTAAAGAAAATATAACTAGAAAAAAATCCACGCGGACCAGGCAGCAGACGGGACTTGAACCCGCACCCTTCGCAATCCGGGCGAATGCACTGACCAATTATGCTACCGCGGCCCTCACGGACCGCGTCGAAATTCTTCTAGCCATTCTCAAGCTGCAAGGCTGCCTGGTCCGCGTGGTTTTTTTTTCCTATTTATATTTTCTTTAGATTTAAACATCAAGCAGTTACATGCTTTAAAATA